TTTAAAGGTTTTTGGGGGGGAGGGGGGGGGATGGGAGGTTAACGGAGTGGTGCCGGGGTACGTAACGGACTTCGAAGAGACTACTCCGATCGAAGACTTGCCAAAAACTTACCTCCTCCGAACGAAAATTGACACTTCGCTCGGCTTCGGCGGCTGCGCCGCCTCGCCTCGCGGCTTTTCGCGATTCGCCGTCGATTCCCGAACGCACTCCGATCGATACGGGAGATCGACGTGGACGACCGTCTCGTTTTAAGAGTCGGCGTTCCCTAATAACCTTTAAAATTTGAAATTTACCGACGATATGGAGGGGGGGAGGGGGGAAATGTCGGACGTAAGGTCGGACGATGCCGATACGAGATCGACGCAACAAACCGCGTCGTTCTAACCCTCGCGGTTCCCGAACAAACGTCGAAAAGGCGAAGTGGTACGTTTGAAGGTCCGGGGGGGGTCAACGGAGGGGCGGTCGGGGTGCGAAAGGCGCGTCGAAGAAAAGACTCGATCGACTTTCCCAAAATTCGCCCTCTCCTATGCCGCTCGACCGCCGTAAATATTTTTTATCGACGATCATTCCGAATCTCGCGATCGGGTCCGAGTGTCGTTCGAAAATTCCTCCCTCCCGAACCCACCGGGAGAATTGGTCGTATGACGCGTCGTAATCCGTCCGACGTTCGGGTCCGCATTTGAGCGATCGTAAGTGTTTCTTAGGTCGTCTCGTTTTCGCGGCGCGAGGGATAAAGCGGAGCGACGTCGATAAGGGCAAACTTCGCGCCCCCCTCCCCCCCAAACGGCCCATAGTTTTTGAATGGGACCCCGTACGTCTCACGCGGGACGGTCGGGACTATCGATCGATCGCGTTTCGAGGGGGGGAAGTAGGGCTACTTTTCGAGCAATTTCCCTCTCTTTCCGCTCCCGTTTTCTCGTGCGCGTCCTCCCCCGCGGGGGGGTGTCGCGACTTTCGCGATCGAGTACCTCGAAAGCCTCGACCCTCCTACCCCCCCTATCCGCGAGCTCGATTTTTCCAGTTCGACGGGCGACCCTCGGCGAAAATTTCTTCGGAGGTGCGATTTTGGGGGGTGACAGCGGGGGGGTGAAGACGAATTTTCCCGGGGTAGCGGGGCATCGTAAAAATCGCGGTTTCGGAATTCGAGGCTCGTGTAAAAATTTCGTGAAAAAAGCTTGGGCCAATTTTAAATTATTTTCGAAAACGTCGGGAACACGTTTGTAACGTATTGTAATAATAATAACAATGCCTAGAAACGTACACATACACTGGGCTCTATAATTACATATACATATATATAAAAATGAATTTTTAGCATTTGAGGTACCTACCTTTTGTTGAACCTCGATCTCGCTTAGCTTAGATGTAGATCTTATTCGCGCAACCCGTTTATCGTCCACGACGTAAGGGTGAGATTTCGACGACGACGACGCCGGCGGCGCCGGCGCCGCCGCAGCCGGCGCCGTCGGCGCGCGTCGTCGGTCGTCGCCAAAATGAGAATCTCGATAACGAAAAGTCGTAGGAAGGCGTGCGAGGTATCGTCGGAAAGGTCTCGGCGGCGCGGTTAGGATGGGCCGTGTTAAGTTTGGGCGCCGGCGGCGCCGCCGCCGGCGCGCGTCGTCGGGCGTCGCCGAAATGAGAATTTCGGTAACGAAAAGTCGCAGGAAGGCGTGCGAGGTATCGTCGGAAAGGTCTCGGCGGCGCGGTTAGGATGGGCCGCGTTAACTTTCCAACTAACTGCAATCTAACCTAACTGCGCGCGTCGACCTAACCTAACCGAGCATTTTGACCTAACCTAACGTGTCTATCTAACCTAACCTAACTGCGCGCGTCGACCTAACCTAACTTAACCGCGATCTAACCTAACTGAGCATTTCGATCTAACCTAACACGTCGATCTAACCTAACCTAACCGCGCACGTCGACCTAACCTAACCTAACCTAACCTAACTACACATCGCGACCTTAGCTAACGCGTCTATCTAACCTAACCCAATTGCAATCTGACCTAATTGTGGGGGAAGGGGGGGGGAGGGGGAGGGGGAGGGGGTTGATTATTTGTGTAAAACCACCTTCGATTTCCCGATAAATAAGAAATATACGCGATTTTTTACAAATATCGACGTTCGAGTGCCCAAAAAAGTCACTCGGGGACCGCGTATTCTCGCCAAACTTTACCTCTCACCTAATCTCGTAGTGTAAAGTCGATTTCGGCAAAAAAAAAAAAAATTTAATTTTTCGTCAAAATTTTTTCGAAAATCGCCGTTTTCATATCGATTACGATTTAACGCACTTGCGATCCTATCGTGGGGACTCCGGGGCAAAATTATAGAAGGTCGCATCCAAAGTGATCGTTTAGTATCGAAAAGTCCCCGGAATTCCACAGGCAAGTGCCCGTTTTGCGCCCATTTTCGTGAGCAATTTCATTTTTTTTTCCACGACCTCTCCCGGAGACGCCTTCGATTTTTTGGGGGAGGTGAAGGTGTCGTAGAATAGCCTCGTCCTTCCTCTTTCGATCGCCGCCTTAACCTCTCGAATGCCTCGAATATTGACGAAATTACGAATTTTTTTGTAAAGGGGCGCAAAATTCGAAAAACAAAAAGCGCCCTCTAGCGTCCAAACCGTAAATCTTTTATTAGAATTTTTTCTCGTTTTTGCAATCTTCGCGTCAAAACGCATAAGATGACGTCGAAAAAACGACGATTTTTGACAATTTTTTTTTTCGATTTTTTCGAAGGAAGGGGATAGTATGGAAATTTTTTCGTTTTTTAATTTTTGGGATAACTTTCGAAGTAGGACTCGTATTTCGACAAAACCTTTTGTAACGTGTCCTTTGAGGTAAAATGCAACGTCCGACGTGTCGATCGATCGAATCGGGGACGTTTTTGAATTTTCGAGTTGCCCCCTCGGGAATATCGATTACGCGATAAATTTTTGGAAAATTTCGATTCGAAAGGTCGTCTCCGTACGTGGGCACTCCGGAACTCGATATTTTACGTCGGTCGGGGCCGTCGACGCGTCTCCGAGTTTCGTTTGGCACATCGAGACACGAAAAAAAATCCGTCTTTCGGTCTCGGCGGCTGCGCCGCCTCGCCTCGCTTCTTTGTTCGATTCCGGAACGCACACCGATCGATACGGAAGAGACGCGGACGTAGAAAACCGCATCGTTTTGGTCCTCGGAGTTTCCGAATAACCTTTAAAATACGAAATTTACCGAAGAGAAGAGGGTGGGGGGAGGGGGGAGGGGGGAAGTGTCGGACGTAAAGTCGGAGAATACCGATACGAGATCGACTTAAAAAACCGCATCGTTCTAACCCTCGCGGTTTTCGAACAGAGTACGTTTAAAGGTTTTTAGGGGGGAGGGGGGGATGGGAGGTTAACGGAGTGGTGCCGGGGTACGTAACGGACTTCGAAGAGAATACTCCGATCGAAGACTTGCCAAAAACTTACCTCCTCCGAACGAAAATTGACACTTCGCTCGGCTTCGGCGGCTGCGCCGCCTCGCCTCGCGGCTTTTCGCGATTCGCCGTCGATTCCCGAACGCACTCCGATCGATACGGGAGATCGACGTGGACGACCGTCTCGTTTTAAGAGTCGGCGTTCCCTAATAACCTTTAAAATTTGAAATTTACCGACGATATGGAGGGGGGGAGGGGGGAAATGTCGGACGTAAGGTCGGACGATGCCGATACGAGATCGACGCAACAAACCGCGTCGTTCTAACCCTCGCGGTTCCCGAACAAACGTCGAAAAGGCGAAGTGGTACGTTTGAAGGTCCGGGGGGGGTCAACGGAGGGGCGGTCGGGGTGCGAAAGGCGCGTCGAAGAAAAGACTCGATCGACTTTCCCAAAATTCGCCCTCTCCTATGCCGTTCGACCGTCGTAAATATTTTTTATCGACGATCATTCCGAATCTC